GTCGCGCAACAGATGTTACGTTCAGACGAGGAGGGCCATCTTCCTTTTACTCGCGATAAATCTATCGTGCATTAAGTGGGTGTTACGCGTGGGGTCGGTCGCACGATTAGGCGATTATGCGCTTTTGCGCGGGTGGGCAGTTCCGCGCGCGATAGGCGAAATCACAAAGGGTACGCATAATAAAATTGGGGGCGTACATGACGGGGACATCCATGTGCCCCCATAAATGCTACTTAGGGCCTAATAAACACACCCGATTGAATCCGTTAATACCAGGCGAGCGTAAGCGATTGAATTGAGCTTCAAAGACGTGTCTTTATTTTGTCAAGAGTAAAAAAAGAGTTGCACGATATAAAATTGAAAGCTGTTTAATTTGAAGATTTAAAGATTAGAAATTCCCCTGACAAATTTTTTTATTTTTAAAAATTCAAATAACGCAGCGATAAAGTTTTATATTTCAAGCGTGAGCTCGACTATTATTTGTTCGATCATCAATATTTATTAACAATATTTTGCTGCTAATCTTCTATCGAATTTGCTTGTTCCTTTCTACTTGCAAAATCATCAACGTATGACTCAATTCTTAAACTTGGATTATTTGACGAGCCAATATTACGTAGGCAGTAATTGTCTCAACGGTAAATGTCCCGATGGGCCAACTGCAAATTGGGTAGGTCAGTAATTGCGACCTAGATTTTTCTGAAATACTTTAAGCATTACGAAAATGATGTTCCGACTATGCGGGACATCAGATACGAAGCAGCATCGTCGCCTTGATTTATCGCGTGACGACCGATTATGATGGAAAGTTGCATCTCAAGCAAGAGAGTACAGCGAACTAACGAGCATAACCGCCTTGTGCTGATTTACGCTTTTGCAATTGGATTTTGAAACGATCGGTTTTCCGATCGCGATTCGTGACACGCGCTGTGATATCGAAGAGCACGTTGTCCAGATATAGCATTGTAACCATTTCGCGAGCACTCACGCACAAATATTAATGCGATAATTATGCAAATGTACGAGAAAAGCCGTCAACACTATTATCAGACCATTACGATGACTGTTGTAATAAAAACATAATAAACAGAATGCGTTATTTAAAAATTTAGCTTGTTACGAAATTGCATACAACTTGCAAAAATAAAATTGTTTCATAGCTAAATATGTCGCAAGACTTTTTTTGCACATTAATTTTTAGAATTTGTACTATTCTCTTAGAATTTCAATATATAACTAATTATTATGCACGGCATTATTACGCTTGTAATACATTAATTAATTAAGTTAGTAATCTATTCTGAATATTTTTTAAATGTGCTTTTTATTGCTTTTTCGTCCATTACATTTTACGATGTGAGCAGATTTAATTGAGTATTTAATGGCGACACGCATCGCTCGCGAGTAATTTAATTTTTGCCTGTGTTAAATTGCATTCCGATCGCCCGACTTTTGCCACTTTCCCAATCGATCGATCGCTACCAAATTCCTCGAAGTGCGTTACGGCCAAGTCCGGTATTCACAAGTGCACAACCATCGCGCGCGATCATGCTTCGATTCGCGGAGTAATGGAAGCGATTTCTAAATCCAATGGAATTTCTTTCCAAGAAGCAAAATCGATCGTGATTTCACGATCGTCTCGATCGTCGTCACTGTTGGTGCCGGCAAAATTCATTCTTATTCTCGACGTGACTTCCTCGCCTTTTTCGCCGGTAGTGTGCTATGTAATTGGGTTACGAGAACGACCGTGTTGTACGTTGTTGTACGATTGCTGCGAGCTCACCTTGACAGTCCCGCGACATTATCCTCCGTCCCATTGTAACGTCTTGAACAACGCTTTGCACTTTGTCGCGAAGGCTATTTTTTGTCGCTTACCGCATTCAAGGTGCACGATAAGTGCGCCATGCATATTCATGCAACAATTTCGTAAAAAAAAAAGAAAGAGACCAAAGTGAACTTGAAATCGCTGCGAATTATGTCTGCGCTTTTAGCTCGATAACGCAAGATAAATCAGCCGATATTGATTATTAATTCTCGAAGATGCGACGCGGCGATATCGCGTCCTTCCCGAAATAGATGGGCGCAATTTTCATCGCCATCAAACTTATGGCGGCTTCAATTGGCGCGCACGCCGTCGCGTAATTACTCGATGCTCCATATACCGCTCGCTTGTCGTGCTGCATCGAAACGCGGATCGCTCAATAATAAATCGCCAATAACTTCGTTCCAGTTCCGTCAAGATGACCCAAATAATACGCTTTTTGCCCATCGCGGCAATAATCGGTGACAATTATGACAGCGTGTGGGTAGCGCAATGGGGGTCATTGGGCCGCAAAAAAAAAGGGGGAGAGCACGAGAGATGAGTACGTTTTTGGATAATGACCCACGCGCTCGAGTGCATCCTGCATGAAACGGATAATTTAAGTGGGTGCAACGTGATTAATTAACGTCCCGCTGTACAACCTGACCGTTGCACCGACCGACCGACCGACCGATCGACCGGCTTTTATATCTCGCTGATCGTTCGTTCGACGTTTCGTCCGCAGACTGATTAATTAAGTAACAACTGTCCACCGGATCATCGGCGGGCCTTTATTGTGCCCTGAAACTGTCAGCGTTACGCGTAATACTTCGACATTGCCGCCAAGAGAAAGTTTAGTCTTTCGTAAAGAGGAAAAACGCTCGCGGAACGCCAATTTCTTTCGCAATAAATTTTCTACGATACGGGAGCAGCCGAGGATCAACGTGTTATTACCGGGCTAAATGATGACTCATCGCGTAACGCGCTGATAACGTAACATTTACGATCATTTCCCATTTAATTGCTTCACCAAATTTCCCGTAATCGCGTTTAATTGCTGCGAAAACGTGTGCTGCGTGATTAGCGGTTCTTTTAATCACGTGTGTTATCGCATTTATTTGTAATTTAACTACATGCGGATGTTAAAATGCAATTAGCACCATCGGCGTCGACTATGCACTTTCCTTTTATGTTATTTCTATGAAAATAAATTCATAATTAAAAGAATTAAAGTTAATGATTTTATATACAAATAATTTATAATAAAATAAATTTTAATATTTATATTAAAAAGAATTTAAAATAATTTCGGCTTGATCCGGTCTTCAGACCGATCGCTGACGAAAAATTACAAATTTCTCACGGAACAGTAGAATATCAGTGACTGAGAAAGTTGTGAGAAATCTTCAGAAAACCGTTGATTTGCAGGTCAAGAGGTCGCTGCAAGCCTCATCAATACCTGTTATCAAAAGACGGAAGCAAGCACTCGCAGACACGTTGTCGCGCCGTTGATTGATAAGAAAGGACATTGGTATGCACTTAGTGGTGGAGATTCAAGTTTCACTCGCTGTGAGAGTGTTAATAGACTCTGCATCATCCGTCCTGTCAAAGGTAAGGCACGACTCTAATTGTGAAACTTATTCCGACCTCCGTGTCGTTAAATTAATGGATACAATCGATCGGCCTGACAAGATTCCATCAATTAACTAAATGGCAAGAGAGTGTCAAGAGAAAAATAATCACCGTTATTACAGCGGAGACTTTCAGATCTCGAATGATTGTAATTTACGCGCCGTGTACGGTTGATCGCGAAGATCTGTCGGTTGAGAGATGTTTGAAGAAAGCCTCAGTAGGCTGCGCCACGAGATTAGACGATCGACTTACCGATCATAGAGAAAATCCCAACAATCGAATCCGTATTTATAAATCAATTTATTAATGATTATCGCTATTATTAATACCGTAATTTTTATACAATTGAGAAATACTTTCTATATGCAAATATCTTTATAAAAGAACTTGCATAGAACGTGTAGAAAGAAATCGGTTACCGGCAGTGGAGAAAGATTAGGCTTATAGTTAGGTAGGTAACTGTGACTGCATTACCTACCTAAGAATACTGTTGTTTCTCTATCTACAGTCTGACACTACGGGTAACATGCGGATTAAATAAATTGGAAAAAATCTTGTACTAAATTTTTTTTGGTATCAATTTTAAAAGTATGTTCTAAAGATTGCTCTCTCTTGCCAGAAAATAGCAAGCTAAAATTTAAAAGAAATACACAGTAAATTACTGTTGCTTTATCATTTTTCCAATTATGAGACAATAAGTATATTTGAGCAAAACGTAGAAAAAATTGAAAACTTTCACAGTTATTTTCAACGAAGTGAAATATATGCGCGTTCTCTCTTTAAGAAATAAATCATAATAAATTTGCATGTTACAAAATGGTACACAGAGGGACGAGTCCGGGTGAAAATCATATCAATCATAATTTTTAAAGAAACGTCCACCGTCAGCCTAAGGCTGACGGCTCACGTATCGCGTAAATCACGCGGAACCGCCTTCGCGGAACGGTGATAATTAATGCAAACGAATGACTGGGCACCTCTCATAAAGAGCACTATCTCCGAGCGAACTCGACTTCCACGAATTAACCGGCCAGAGATAAATCCGTCCAAGCGCGGCGAATTAAAATCCTGCCCTTGATCCTGCGGTTAATTTTAATTCGCGCGGACATTTCACAGCGATGAATGTATACTTAAAGTCGCCTCGACATCTTTATCCCGCGTCTCCTGCCGTTCCCTATTCCGCATATTTTAAAGACGCGCGCTTTTGACCCGACCATATTAAGTTTACAGGTGCGAGAAGAATAATGATTCTCGCCTTCCTCTTTTTCGCCACGATTCCCTTCCCCTTCATTTCGTTGGCAGATAAAGAAAAAAAGGGAAGTGTGCACACTTGGCAGGGGTCTTTGCAACAATTCGCCCGTCACAAAGGTATTCTTTATTATCTCGCGCTTATGCAGTCACCTTTCGAGTCCTCGACGGAATTTCTTTCGCATCGAAGCGTGACGGGCGGCTCAATGGGTCGCGAAAAAAGTGAAATCTCTTATTTAGAGGAGAGCGACTCAATTCCTTTCGAAACGGTCCTTTCGATTCCATTAAATGCTATGCGACAATCAACGCGTTTACTTACCATCGACGTGAAGTAAAACTTCTCAAATTCTCGCTCGTGAAGCCGCGCCAACGCCAAATTTGTCGCAGTGTGTTGTGCGTGCTTCGACAGAATGTCCTCGCCTTTCTTGCACAGCCACGATAGTATCTGTAATAAAAAAGAATTCAAACGTTAACTTTCATCCAAAGAACATCGTTGACAGTCGAAGATTAAAAGAATTTATAAATTGATTTTAGTAAAATATTATTAAATTATTTATAAAAAAATATAGACTAGTTTCAATGAAAAATACATTTAGAAATGTTTAATCCATTCAAGACTAAATTATTCCCTTAACATCTTATTCTGATTATTTCTACGGCATTATTTTTCGAAATATAAGAGCAGTGAAATAGCAAGCGATGAGAAGTAGTCGTCGGTTGATGATATGTGTCTTTCATCTACAGTTGTTTTGGTTCATATTCTTGAGTGAGCTGTTGAGCAAGTTGCAGACGAGTCTCAATGCACGCTTAAAGTAACGCTTAAAAGCGTAACCGATCCTGAAAGGATTCGAGAGTTTTTACGGTGAACGTAATAGTTATACTCTCTCGGGTTCGTCGCCTTCCCTCTGAATCCCTCCGAACGCACTGAACATCGAAAGCATATTTGGAAACTTTCGTGTCGCTCTTAACAGCTACCTTTTGACCGTCTCTGTTCACATCGTTAACGTCGAGCGTTAAGTGTCGGGGTTAAAAAAAATGGAGCTCTCGCAACGATGGGCGGACTTGTACATCGAGTAGCCGTCAAGGCGCGAGTCCTTCATTCTCGGAGGAGCGGCGCGCTTCAGCTGCGCTCGGGCATTGTGAGATCGGATATTGTCGGTATTTAGCGCAGTTGGACAGTGAGTAATTGCCGCGCATCCGAATTCGCCGGATAATTAAGGCTCCGCGGCGCGATGCTGTCCCTGACGTCGCAGCCACACTCAAAGTTATTTATGGCGGTTACACGAGATACACACATTGCCGGGCTATCATTGAAAATACATCATTTAAGTCATCAATCTGCGCGGAGATACAACACGACAATACCGCGCGCGGCAATCGACGACTCCCGACGACGATTAGTCATATCTTACGCAATTGCTCCGCAAGAGGATCTCTCGCCGCCGATGCCTCGATATCCCACGTTATGCAATCGCGCGCGGGTCTTCATTGTGACATAACCGTGGCGATCGTAGGACAGGAACGATTCTCTGATAACGATCCGGGCCGATGCCGAACGCGTGCTCTCGCTCGGTATTGCCACATTTCTCGTCATGCTCCAGAACTCTCAAACAAACGATGAACGTATCGCACAGGGGGATTATTGCTCATGAGTTATGACGACTTAATGGTCGCTTAGCCGACATATTAATCGTTAGTACGGCGATCCGAGCGGCATACATTTATACCGTTGGCCAGTTGCGACAAATACATTGCGGAATACGAGAAAGCCAATCTTTCCAAAATGTCAAAATACATTACAGATATCTATCTTAATTATGCGCAATCGCGCGAACGAAAAGAGATGATGAAAAACTAGCACCAAGTAGGTTGTTTAAAACGATAACCGTAATTTGCCTCATCAATCCTGAAACTGGATCCAAGTGCATCGAGATATTCTAAATAGCATCTATTAATCGTCATTTCCATCTTTCTCGATTACGCGAAATCGATTCGATCAAAAGTCGATCAAGATATAAATTCTATCCAATTTGCCAATTTCTTTGTTTTTTATCCGTTGGACTGAAAACTTAGATTGAAGATTAGTCTCATCTGATTTATACGATATCTGGTTCCTTGCGTTTGCGCTCGACGGGATCGTTTTCACTTGTCACACGCATGCCATCGAAGGCCGGAGAGTGTTTCTTCCACGGCGTCTACGACGACATGTACATCGAAGATCTCGCTGATAATTAGATCGCTGCTACGTGCGCGTCGCGCGTGATAAATGGCTAATCGTCGCGCCGTGACGCACCGATGAACGAAAAGTATGCGAGGATAATTAACGGCAACAGGCCAGAGGAGAATATACTGCGAAAGAAAGGAGACGAGACAGGCCGGAGAAACTGTTGAGAAAAGAAAGGAGGGAAACGAAAGAAAGCTTCGCCGTATCTGTAGTCTCCAAAATTCAACTTACAAATACAGATCAAACTCTGCGATACAAACATTCGATCTCAAATGTCATTACAGGAAACTATAGTTTTTACAATATTTAAAAAAAGAGAAAATAATTCTAGTAAAAGATTGAATCACCGATTTTCGCAGATACAGAAATGTTCCACAAGAAGCAGCGTCTCGCGTTATCCGAAGATATATTATCAATCCGAAGATATATTATCAATTGCATTTAAAATAAATTATAATATATTCAAAATTGGAACAGACATATAAAATTTAAAACACACATTATCGTTGATGATCAGCGACGATGTTTGTGGATGAAGCGGGAGCTGTGTAAGCGATTATAAAAAAAAACTAAGAAGAAGGTTCCGCCTCTGCTGGACCTGTTGAAGCACGACCGGGTCCGAGGAGAAATGGAAACCGCTTCGATCATAAGCAAACCGTGGCTTATTTGGGTCACTGGGCCGCGTTAGGTAAGTCGACGATCGAATGTTGTGCATATAATACGCCGCTCTTTCCAGTGTGTTAAACCATTTGTGGGATGGTAATGTGGGAGCGGGCAGCAGCAAATTTCGCGTATCGACTTTGATCGTGTACGGTAGAATTTATCTCACGCACAGATCGTATCCGAGAAGCACGCACACCGTCGCGATTTCTAGGTAAATATGCGAGGAACGGACACGCGGATGTGCATTGTATAGATTAGAGTGGTATTTATGTCTCGTGCAGTGTCCGTTTAAACGCTTGAGAGTTTAATTTAGCTAAACGAGCACGTTCTCTACGATCGTGATAACAGATACGAGAAGAATGTAAGACGAGCCACATTCACATGCTTGAAAGTAAAAAAAAAAGAATATTACGCAATGGACGATGTAAAATGTAAAATTCGATTAAAAAGTAATTCGAATTTTAAAAATAAAATGTAAAGAGAGAAATAAATAATTAATTACATCAGCTTTTTCACAATGTATCACTTATGAAACACAGTGGAACAAAAATAATTATGAACGAAGAGTTTGTCATTTTTTTTAATAAATGCACATGTGTCGGACGAGCACTGACGTCTTTGCAACTTCTCCACTTCGAACGTTGAGTTATCGATCGGTCACGGAGGTAAAACGTGGGAAATGAAAGTTAAATCACGCGCTAACTAATGCACACACTCGCAATGGCTATAAAAAGATTATAATATATCATCACACCGGCGGTGAATTATATGCATTAAAGTTGCCGGTATTTAAAGCGGGCGTACGAATATTTCATGCACTAAAGCGTGACGCTTAACCCAATTTCGAATTTTTCGGCACACAGACCTCATCAAGCACGAGAAGCCCGCATCATCTTATATCGATCCAAAGTATCGGTTTATCGAAGAGCGTGAAAGACAAACGTGGGAAGTAAAAACTGATGCAGCGTGCATCTCGCGCCTCTTGCGAAATTATTGCTGTAAATCATCACGCCAGAATTGCAACACATCGATATTAGCGGAGGAAATCACTCTCACAACCATGGCAGGTTCCGGAACCATAAGAAGCGAAACACGCGATGAGCGCCTCATTATTATCGCGGTGCATTTCTTCTTTCTTTCCTTCTTCCTTCATTCTTCTTGTCATCCTCTCGACAGCGACTGGTAATGCGCGCAATTTGCATACAATTTTTTAAATTTATAATTTATTACACTGTAAAATTTCTTTTTAACTTTTATAAGCGAAAAGATGCGAGAAAGAATTAAATTTCAAATAAGACCGATAACCGCCTTTGCACGAGAGTGGAAAAATTCCAAGATTCTACGGATCGCAAGACTATCGGCGCATTAGCAACGCAAAGGATTACAAGGACCTTTTACCGCATAACATATATTCTCATCTCACGTCGACACCGAACACGGTTGCGATATTAGATATGAGTCAAAGGTCTGCGCGAGTGGAAAAACCAATCAAGTTCGCGCATTGAAAAAATCGCTTGCATTTATTTGAATATCATTACTGGGACGCGGCGCTCGCACTATTACTACCGAAACGATCCTCGTGGGATGCGATGCGGGGTCCCGTACCGTTCCGTTAAGGGAAAGATACACGGAAATCTCTTCGATCATAAGCAGACCTTAGGTTATACGGGTCACTGGGCCGTGCTAAGTGAACGACGATCAAATACCGTAAATACGTGTGCACACGTAGCACGCACGTACATGTGCACGTGTGTATGTGTACGCGCGCGCGATGAGGTGAGTCAGGTGCGAGCGTACAAACGAACGTTGCATCGAGCCTCATCTTCCTCCTCCTTCTCGCATGCAGCCGATCTCACGCGCCGCGACCTCGACGTGGACCGCGTGCGTTTTATCTCACCTCTACACGCGCGGGAGCACGGCGAAGCGTGTGCACACGCGCGCACGCGCGCGCGCGAGCGAGCGTGCACGCCTAACGGACGATAGGTATTTAGGTTCCGTCGTGGCGCGCGCGGCTCTCTATTGAGGCGGCGCTTCCGCGTGGTGCATCTTCTCACGCGCGTGGACCGCGCGATCGCTTATCGCTTATGGAAAACGCGACATGTTCGATTCCGACGCCTCGGACCGTCGGTGTCGTTATGACTTCGCTACAACGTCGGCCAATTACCGATACCGTGTACGCGTACATTCGGAGAGAGGAATGACACGGGCCGCAAAGTATGTGGGAGTGGTGACGCGTTCAACTACATTTGGCCCGTGATACGCACAAGATGGTTCGATAGGTCGATAACTTTTGGACAAACCGTCGTCTGACGTACGAAAAGACGTGCCTCGATATTGATCACTTGATAGGAGAATCTTTCGGAACATTTGAGGAACTTGACGCTACACACAAAGTAAGAGATACGTTCGATTAACGAGAGATTCAATACAGTCCCGGCAATGCTATGACAAACCACATTTGGATACAAATAATTAAGCTCGATACTCGTTAAGGATATAAATACAAAAAGTCATACCGGCGGAGTCATAAAAAAATCAAGCCATAAAATAGTTTCGTA